AGTGGCTTGTCCCTGTGGGCACTGGCCCTGTGCAGTTCTCCTGCTTGTGTTGAATGGGGAGGAGAGGAAGGAGGTGTAGAGAGAGGGGGGTGCTCAGCACGCATTGGGGCTGCGGTGAGGTGCTCAGCGGGCACGTGGCATGCCGCACACACCCCTCGGTCCATTGGCTCTAGTCCTGTGTAGACTGAGGGTGTTTAGTCATTAGCATAGTCCTCCTTGCCAATTTTTTTGAAAGTTTTTTTCTGTGTTTCTGATCTGGGCTGTGAGTTTGTCCACTAGGTATGTGTCTTTGACCTTCACTATAACGTCAGTGGTCGATGGAACTGTAGGTTTCAGCTATGCCTGGGCCAGGGCCCGTCTGGCCGCCAGGGTGATTTTATTTATTAGCTGTTGTTCCTTTCTGGGGAGGCCATCTGTGGGCTTGGATAATAAGATGGACCAAGGGTCAAGGTCTATATGTCTCTCAAAGATGTCTGTCAGCAGTGTCTGAACTCATTTCCAGACTCTGCTGACCATTGGGCATTCCCACCACATGGGCACGAACGTGTCCTTATTTCCACACCCCTTCCAGCATGTATCAGTCGTAGTTTTACCCATTCTGTATAATTGCACTTGTGTGGTGTACCACCTCATTAGCATTTTTTATGATTGTTCCTGTTGTAGTACGCATATCGAGGTCTTCGTGGTCGCTTCCCATATGTCTGCCCAGTCTCCTCCCTCTAGTTCTTGTCCCAAGTCAGTCTCCCATTGTCCAATATATCTAGGGTCTTTGTCGTTCCTATCTGGGGCACTGAATTGTGCGTATATGGTTGTTATCAGTCCTTTCTGTTCGGTTTCTGATGGTTTGGGCTGCTTTCCGAATCTCTGGATTTTTTGCAAAGTCCTGCAGTTGTATATATCTGAATACATCTTTTGTGGTCAGGGGTGCTATGGTTTTTAGGTTTTTATGGCATAGGCAGCCATCTCTCTTGGCGGTCAAGTCACGCCCCCCACTAAGGTGTTTTAATAGATTATTTGGAACATAGCAAGCCATTCTTAAAGGGAAATAACCATATCATTTTTTTTCTCATGTTGTTGCATAAAGCTACTTTTCATTTTATATAAAATATTATAAAATATTTTAAAAATAATTTTTTGGAATAATTTAAAATAATGGACTCTAAATTACAACAGCTTAGTAAATCGCATAGCATGCCCAAACAATTAGATGTTGAGTTCTAAAAATAAAACTATAAGATCTGTTTCAGTTTTCTCTTCAAGCAAGATGCATCCTTTTTGTAAATAATTGAGTGTATCTATTCACCATAGGTCAGGTAGATGTATAGCAGCTGAAATTATGCCGAGGTGAAAAGACTAACTGACAAATAAACAGGAATTTGCATATCGCATTAGACTAATTGTCTGATATGTTTAGTAAGTCAAGGTTTGCTCTAGAGCAGGGGTGTAGTCCAAAACATCTGGAGGGCCAAAGGTTTCCCACCCCAGCTCTAGAGGTATAGACACAACCACTACTTATAAATCTCATTTTGATTTGAACTTTATAAAATCAAATTATAAATAACAGAACATAAAACATTGGTAGGTTTCAAAGAATTTAGTTATATAACACACTTTAGGTATTTGTCATCTCTAGTCTTCTGGAAGTCCATTAGGGAGTTTAAAAGCTAAATTTGAGTCAGTGGCTTGAAGGTAAATTTGAGTCAGTGGCTTGAAGGGACATTTGAGTCAGTGGCTTCAAGGTATGTTTGTTTAGCAATTACTAACAGGTTGTTTTTTAAAATCTATTTCTACATCTTTTTTCACAGAACTCTTTTAAGGATTTGAAGCTTGTCTATTCATTAATTTAACGTGTCTTATAAGAAAAACAAGTATGTAGATAGTATTCATGTGATTCACTGGTTTTTGATAAAGTTTAGCTTTGGCTTTAATGTTATTTATAATCATTTATTATCTAGAAAAATGCAGAAATATGGAACAAACTACACATTTTTGCATTTGCATTACAAAGATGTAAATACAATAAAGTAAATATAATCACTGATATAATAATAATGTTTGTAGACTATTACATATTCTATATGTTTCTATTCAAATGTGGCTGTCTAATGGGTAAAAAGAACAGATGGTGTTTGCTATTCTGTACCATGAAAACTCTGGAATGTGCTGTATAGGGAGATTGGGGTTAGGTTCCTTATATGGGGAGAGTCTAAATTAAAAGTTATGACGTAATTTGGCCTCTAAAGAACTGAGGACAAAGGACCACGTGCTCTTTTTCTCCTATGATCCGCTCTCCTCTCTTGGTGTGTCCATGACTTGCTGATACAAAGACAACTACTTAAGATCTCTCACTCTCTGTAACATCATTAAGAAATACCATCTGTTAAGTATATTACTGTTTGCTTTTGAAGTAGAATAAATGCATATTTTTTATAAAGAACGTCAGATTGCGTATTAGTACTTTTTGGTTATATTAACCTGATGGGCCTTTAACCAAAGAAGATATATATAAATAAAAGACTTATTCAACTGACAAAACACAGACCAGTTATTACAATGTTCTTCTTTTATAATTTAGTCACATTGAAAAGGGGTTACATTATGATATTTTTCATTATTTATCCCATTAATAGCATCATCCAAAGTAGAAAAAAAAGGCATACAATTCAAAAGAGGAAATAAAAACAAAACAACATCGAGCATAAATTAGCAGGAGCAATAGAACAATAGAATTATTATATTTTATTTCGGTAAGTAGATCACACTGTGTTTGATTTGACATGAGCAATACTATTTAATAACTATTCAATATTAATTAAGGACAATTACATATAGTCATAGATTGGGTTGGTCAAACATCTTGTTCTAGGCACTGGTGAGGTAAAATGAAAACCATGTTTGAGTTTGTGTACAATGATTATAAAATACCAAAATATGATATTTATGCAATAATGCTATTACATGGAGAAATACAATTATCAAAATCATGCAGACATATGAACATGTGTCACATGTACATTTCAAGCCCTTTGAAAATCAATTAATATACATGTATTAAATGTATTAAATGAATTTATTCATTCTGGACTTTTTTTGTAATAATACTGTTTTAAATGCAGTATGCTACTTTTTCTTTTCATGTTGTCTGTTTGACAGAAGCAGTATGTGTGATTGCCTGATCACTACATTACATGATAACACATTCTCTGATGATTTATTTCGACATACATACCAATACAAAAGATCTGAAATATAGGCCCCTGATTTTTGACATTAGAGATATTGGGGTTACATATAAAAAGTAATTTTTTTTAAAATAAGGGCTGTTACCACAGAAACCAGTGGAACCAGCAAGTATCTTGCATTGGTTAATTTATCTTTTTCACTTTTGCACCATTTTTCAGAACAGTTTGGTTTTTGCAGTTTAACTTAATTACATTTTTACATGATATCAATATCTATTAAACTATTGTCATAATGTGATTAACTATAAATACAGATGTCTTTATTGTATTATTATACACACAGTCGAAAGATAACACTGAGGTCTGTTTGATTAGTATTGTAGATCCTACACTGACCTCCAAAGTGGAGTCAATGTAGGGCACTATTCACTCAAAATTTATAGTTTCTTGGTTATGTAATAAAAACATACTTAAGTAAGCAGGGTGTATTTTTGCACATAGCAACTCTTACAGTTAACAAATATTGTTTTAAAACAAACAATCTTTTTCATACTCTGAAAACATGGTATAGGGTGACATGCTTAGCACTTTGTTTATGTTTTTACTACACCTTGCACTTATCTCACATATGCATTCGCACATATATTAGAACCCAGACACCAGATATTAGAACTTACACACATTGTTAAGAAAGAAAAACTTTCAGGCAAACTCGGGGAACTCAGTTTTTAACCATTTCTCCTCTACCAGAGACCACAATGTCCAAAACAGTTTCATGCCCATCTATACTTGTTAATAAAAGTGCAAGTATAAGTACATACTTATTGTGCAATTCATCACTCAGACCTGAAATATCACTGCAATCACTTTAATAATTGTTTTAACTGCATCAAATATGGACATATTATGGTCTATTATGGTTTTTAAGAATTTTATTGGGAAGCATCAGATTATGCACTTAGAAATGTACAAGGGCAATTAACTGCCACATTTATAGTGTGGAAATTAAACCAAACACAATATAATTTGATATTTATATATGCACATATGCTCATGTCAGTTACAACCTGGCAACTTGACCTTTCTTCCTAATGTGCTACATTTCAAAAATATGACGGTGACTGAAAAGGCTTTTTTTTGTGAATTGCATGGGCGACAACAACTGTTCTCCTCTGTAGAGGTTTTTTTTTTTTTATGGAAATGTTGTTTTGGATCATTGCAATTTATTGATTGAACTGAAATTCTTTTATTTGTCTGTTTATTATTTCATTGCTGCCATGTACTAATTTGTTTTGGAGATTTGTAATATACAGTAGTTACATAATTACGACCTGTAATTTAATAATTTTGTTTATGATGTAATTTCAGAAACATGAATTGTTGTACTGTGAACATTGCCTTAGGAATTAAAAACCTATATATTGTGTTATGTCCTTTTTATATTGGTGTTTTATCTAAAACTCTGGGAAGCACTCAAATAGGAACTTGAAACCTGGACCACCAGATTAAAAGTCTGATGCTCTATTGACTAAGATATCTGGACTCCTGCTGAGAGTGCTTCATTCATGCCTAGAAACATAGTACTTATATTACTCATCCAGTAAAGCCTTAAACCTTGCTATGTCCACCTATTTGCCACAAGTAAGTAATATTTAAAATTGACTCTAAGCTTAGGTATGAATATTTTAAGTTGGACTGCCTGTTGACATTGCTTTGCAGTATTTAACAGTGCAGTTTAAAATTCCAGTGGGGAAGACTTGCTTACCCTGCATAAAAATGCTCGAACACTAATAGCCTAGCTCTGTTTTATCCAAAAGGCACCCAAACAGTGACTTGAACTCTGGATTCTCAAATTAAAAGTCTAATACTCTACCAACAGAGCTACCCATGCTCTTGCTGAGTGCAGAGGATAGATGCCAGGGCTTTGCTTTTGCCTCGAAACTTGGTCCTTCTGAAAATTTATTCTTGGTTGAAGAAAAAAGTAGGACTTGGTCACAACTGAAAAACACTTGTGCGTAGCACTGCTCACCCACTCATAAATGTATTCACTTCTGCCGGCTTACATTCACCTTTCCTTAAATCATTGTAGTTGTGCACATCTTCACCCCTTGCTTGACTGCTGATGTGCTGTTTCAGGTGTCCAGGAAGGCTCCTTTCTCCCGGCCTAAGTTTCTGACGTCACAGTCATTTCAATGTTTTTGCATGTAAAAAAAAGTCTGACTCTGTTTTCACAGAGGAAGCACCATCTAGTGGCTATCAGTGTAACAGTCACTGGAAGTGGATTTAGCACCACAGAAAAAACATTGCCACATCTCAGAAGCAATACATTGCATTGCTGCGTACAGAACACTTCATTGAGATGAAGTAGTGTGGGTCCTTATAGTGTTTTTTTAGGAAAACTTGAAAAATTTCAAAGATGCTTAAGTACAACTAAGCTGTTCCTCACATCTTTACTTTCACCTTTCCATATTTCCATAAATTCCTTTCCAAATCAATATTCTGCTCTTATTAAATGCACTGAATGAGCTGGCAAGCTTCATAATACTGAATGCTTGCATTGTATAAAATATTCATACTGTAAGAGCACATCAGCAATTTTTTATTTTATTTTTTTTATGAACACACCCTAACCCACAGATATTGAATCAGTGACTTGAGTGATTAAGTGATATCAAAATGTTAATGGGGAAAGTTAAGTATTATAAACAAGAATTTAAAGGATGGGCCCTACTTCAGTGGAAATCATTTTGTAATCTGTGGTACTGCAAATGTACTTTAACAATAAGTATAGATGGATCACGAGTATATTATTTAAATGCAATCATTAATTTATTGTATACTTTGAGTAAAGAAGTCTTAATAAATAACCCATTTCAAATGGCATGAATAGATTATTATTTAACCCCTTAAGGACACATGACATGTGTGACATGTCATGATTCCCTTTTATTCCAGAAGTTTGGTCCTTAAGGGGTTAAAGTTCATCCCTTTCAATGATGCTGTTATGACTTTGTGGACCAAATAAAAGAATATCAGCACATCTTATTTCATCTTTGCCATGCAAAGCATTGCACAGTTTATAGAAATAATTTTCTTCATTAATGAGTCAATATTCTCTGTTTGTCTTTTTACCTGCAGTCAGAGATCCATCACTTTCATTTTACATGATTCTAAGCCTGTGCTAGCAAGAGATTGGATTGTAGGTCTTTGGGTATATTAAAGGAACACTATATAATAATGTTTAAAAAAAAAAAAAATGAAACGATCTTCTGGGGTTGTTGTATCTCTCATGCAGAGGGAACTTGCTGACATTTCAGTTCTGGACTACCATCACATGTGGGACCAGTTTGATATGCTTCAGATATGTTCAACTGCAAGCTATTACGTTCCTCTAAGCTTTTGTCCATTCTCAGAGTTCTAATATTCTTTGTTTTTGCTTCAATGCATTAATTTGGCTCTCCCCAAGTTAAAATGGTAATTCAGATGTGTACCCCGTGCTCACTGTGTCTAGAGGGTTATTAACTACACCTCACTGACAAGGCCCAAAGAAGGTCAAAAAGATTGTCTGGGGTTGCTGTATCTCTTGTGCAGAGGGAACTAGCTGGCATTTTGGCTCTGGACTACTATTACGGGAGAGACCAGTCTGATATGCTTCAGATATGCTCTCTGCAATTGCACAAGTGAGCACAAATTATTTTGAAAACTGAGCAGGGATTTATGAAGGGAAAGCTACTGAATTTCTTCCAAATTTTGTCCATTCTTAGTGTTCTCACATTCTTTGTTTTTGCTAATAATGTTTAAGTAACTATTTAGGTGACCAGTCCCCCCATAGCTGGCAGCACCTGGCTACAATGTCACTGTGGAGCTATTGTGCATACGTAGCAAATTAGCATCTCCTCATAAAGATGCATCAAATCAATCCATCTCTATAGGGGTCATTCAGCAAGGAGACGCTGAATGCCAGTGCTGCACACTTTGCAGCACTGGATTAGGAAGCACCTATAGTGGCTGTCTGACTGTCACTAGAGGTGTTCCAAAGCAACAATGTAAACACTGCTTTTCTCTGAAAAGGCAGTGTTAACAGTGCTCAGCCTGCAGGGATTATGTCAAGGGATTATGTCCAATCAAATACTAGTTGAGACATAACATAAGATGAATCACAACTGAGCTTTATTGAAAACAACAAATCAAACTGAAGAATACCCCCAAGAGCCTAAATTGCATACAATAGGTTTACAGTGGTACACAACATTTCCTTTCAGGTCCTCTGCAGTAATCCTCTACCAATCAAAAAGTAAGCCCAAGTCAACCAATAATTGTATGGCCTTGTGATAGCAACCAATTACACTACAAAGCTTAATTACATTACAACTAGTGTGAATGGGACACTGTGGTTACAAGGCAGGTTGGGAACAGGCAATAACAGGGGCTGAGGACCACATGGGAGATTTAAAGGAGTGACAAGTGAGGCACTTTGAACCTGTCTGGAACACACTCTGATTCCTGAATTTTACTCTGATTCTGGAATTTTTGAAATTGTGCAGATGTTTCACCTTCCTTTAAATGAGCTACGGTTAAAATTGATACATATGTGTTTTAAATAGGTAAAGCATTAACATTGTAAACATTGTTCTGCTTATAAATCATTTTAATATTCATGGATATCATTCAAATTATTTGCTTTATGTCTACAACTTTAGTATGATTAAAGTGTTTAACGTTTGTTGACATTCATTCATCTGTACTGCTTAATAATCTTTGTAGCGTCACCACAAATACATTTTGCTTCAATAATATATTATGAGATAAGTATTGCAGGTTTGATGCCATTTACATAACGATTTTGTCTTTGACAATAATGGAAAATTGGAAACTAAGGTAACACTAAAGATTAATTTCCAACTTAATACATTTGTTTATTTCTAAGAATTGAACATATTTCCTGAATTATATAAGAAATTACTGGCTGTTCTTAGGTACAGTTTTACATGGTCAATATATTGATAGTATTACATTTAACTTATTACACCTGGGTCTCTCTGAACAGCTCAATGTTTTCTTACAAATATGTATTTGTGTTCAAATCACAAACAGTTATGCATAGGTGGAACTATCACAGTTGTAATGCTGGTGATTGTGAACAAGCCCTGAAGTTTCACCTGTCAGAGTAGCACTGACCAGAGGTGCCCATCCCCTTGCAAAACCATTTTAAAAAAAAGACCACCATAAATACACTCTCGTAGTGCCGGTGTTCCGCGAATCCATGACACTTGGTATATGAGTTAGACTGCTGTCTCCAGGTAATGGCTTATTCCATAAGGGCTGTCCATCAGTGTGTTTACTGTGGTCTGTTCAAGATGTAGGTGCAGACCACGTGCGCCCTCCATTGGAGCACCATGGACCCCACAGATTAATTAATTATCCCTACAAAAAGACATGAACAGAAAAGGTTAATTATATAGTTATTAAATAATTAGGAAAAATATTGGGAAAACTTCCAATATGTCCTCCCATTGCTTCCCACAGTCAATCTCATACACATGCCACTCAGCCAACCCCCACATATATATGTAACAATTTCACACATATCCCATGAGCCAAACCCCATATGTAGCCCTCTGAGACAGTTCAACACACATCACACTAAGTCAGCCTTCCCCACACACATCACACTTATCCAGCCTCACGCATCACAACTTTTTATTATTAGCGGTGCTTAACATCTCTTAAACAATATTTGGCGCAACCTATTTTTATCTCTACCTATATCTAAAAACAGCTCACAAAACCTGCAGTTCTCTTGTCTGAAGCCTTTGCAAGTCCTCTCATTCTAACCCAGCCCAGACGTTCTATGGCTGTTAAATCACAGACATTCCAATGCAGCTCAATGAGAAGACAATTGCTCTGAGCGATTGCTGCCTCTTGAGTTTAGTTCCACTGAGCTAACCAAACTAGGAAATAACAGGAATTGTTGTCTGCTTGAAAGACAGGAGGGGTGTAACAAGGTTAATTTACAAAAGTGTCAATTCCCATTGAAATCTTCACTTTTTACAAAATGAAAAAAACAGGACACACTCTTCTTACATAAAGCTCTACATGAAGACAATTGTTTCAGGTGGTCTGGAGTGTTTCTTTAACCCCTTAGTGACCAGACCGTTTTTCAAATTTCTTACCGTTAAGTACCAGGGCTCTTTTTACATTTCTGCAGTGTTTGTATTTAGCTGTAATTTTCCTCTTACTCATTTACTACCCACACATATTATATACAGTTTTTCTCGCCATTAAATGGTCTTTCTAAAGATACCATTTTTTAATCACATCATATAATTTACTATAACATTTTTTATAAACAATGATGAAACAAAACACTTTTTCGAACTTTCACACCCAAAATCCGTTACGCATTTACAACAGACAAAAACACCCATGCTAAATAGTTTCTAAATTTTGTCCTGAGTTTAGAAAAACCCAATGTTAAGATGTTCTTGGCTTTTTCTGGAAAGGTATAGGGCTATAAGTACAAGTAACACTTTGCTATTTCCAAACCATTTTTTTTTCCAAAATGAACGCAAGTTACACTGTAACACTGATATCTGTCAGGAATCCCTAAATAACCCTTCACATGTATATATTTTTTAAAATAAGCAATTTAAACACAGAGCAATTTAAAAATACATGTACGGAGCACTTTGAGGGTTACTGTTAAAGAACACCCCAATATGTGTTCAGCAACATCTCCTTAGTACAGTGATACCCCCCAATGAATAGTTGTGTTGGGTTCTCTGAGAGCTAAAAGACCTTCTTTGGAGGGTGTGCATTCCATTTTTCCAACTTGGAATTTTCTTAGTTGGTCATCATGCACTCACGTCCTATTTGGGACATTTTTGAAGC